TAAACATACCAACGAGGAAGCGCTCGAGTATTATACGAAATACTCGAACGCTCTAACGAAAACAAATCGAACGGAAGTCGTAAAATTTGCCATTGATCTAGCCAACGATGATATACAATACAAATAAACCAACGACGAAGCATTCGAATATTATACGAAATACTCGAATGCTGAAACAAAGACACATAGAATGAAAAAAATAAAATCTGCAAGAAGAAATTATTGTTAAATTATTTAAGAGAGTGGACAATGGCCACTGAATAGCCATTGATCTAGCCAACGATGATATACAATACAAATAAACCAACGACGAAGCATTCGAATATTGTACGAAATACTCGAATGCACAAACAATGAAAACTAGAATGAAAGAAATAGAATCTGAAAGAAGAAAGATAATTAAAACCTGAAAGAAAAAATAATTAATACCTGAAAGAAGGAATTATTATTAAATTATTCAAGAGAGTAGACGATGGCCATTGAATAGCCATTGATCAAGCCAACGATGATATACAAATAAACCAACGACGAAGCATTCGAATATTGTACAAAATATACGAATGCACAAGCAATGAAATCTAGAATAAAAGAAATAGAATCTGAAAGAGGAAAGATAATTAAAAGCTGAAACAAAAAATAATTAGTACCTGAAAGAAAAATATTAACACGCACCCTCCAAAGTCGAAGCGACAACTGGCACGAGCCTGCACGCGGGCCCCTTATATAGCGTCGGCCGACCGGAGATCGACGAAAATTTCCGAACTTTACCGATTCCTTTAAGAGTTACTTTTTCGCTGTATTAACTAATAATTCATTAACTTTTTTGACTTTTATCGTTAATATACGTTGCAAACTATTTGTTATCAATAATTTTAATTTGTTATTTACAATAAATTTATTAATTTATTATCTTTTTGTAAGTTACGAATACATTTTAAGACAAATACGTTGTTTGTTTAAGTAGTAGCTAATAATTTATGAACTTTTTTTACTTTTATCGTTAATATATGTTGCAAAATATTTGTTATTAACAATAAATGTAGTAATTTATTATCTTTTTGCTAATTATAGATACATTTTCACGCAAATACGTTTAATATACTAGTAATAGCCTATAATTTAGTAATTTTTTCACTTGTTCTATAAATTTACGTTGTGAACAATTTGTTATTAACAATAAGTGTATTAATTAATAAATTTTTTCCAAATTATAGGCACATTTTACCATTAGTATGATATTTGTCAAGTAATAGCCGAAAATTTATTAGTATTTTTGAGTTTCATCTGTAATATACGTTACAGAGAATTTGTTACTTGCAATATTAATTTGTTGTTAACAACAAGTGTAACAATTTATCAAATATCTGCAAATTATAGATTGCAAATTATAGGCACTTTAACACATACAAGTTATATGTACTAGGAATAGTCAATAGTTTAGTAATTTTTTCACTTGTATTATAAATTTACGTTGTGAGCAATTTGTTATTAACGATATTAATTTGTTATTAACAATCAGTGCAATAATTTATAAACTTTTTGCAAATTATAATTACATTTTGACGCAAATTCGTTCCATATTCAAGTAATAACCAGTAATTCCTTAATTTTTTCACTTTTATTATAAATTAACGTTGTGAACAATTTGTTATTAACATTAATAATTTGCTACTAACTATAAGTATTATAATTTATGTGTAATAGTATAGTTACGTGTAATTATTACTCGGAGTGTTCGAACTGATGCCGATAATACTATTGGTTTTTCACTAATTATGTAATTATGTATTTTTTTCTTGTACTTACCATAGTGTTAGTTATTCATTGTTTTGATCTTTGTTTGTAATTTTTATACTGTCGGAAAGAAATATAATTTACGTATAATTACTGTATGTTTTTTCTGTTATTGTAGAAATAGTAAAGGATTAAAAAAAAATTTCTAAAATGTGCAGCAAAATAAGATACGTAATATGAATATTAATAAATATACTCAATACACATTGATACTTATGCTTCAATACGATAGACGAGGATAGAAGTTCAAACGATGTTCGATCTATGACTTTAGTCCAGAATTATTAGGGTAACGCATTTGTTTGAGTAGAATCATTTGCAGTAGAATGCTTATCACAGTTTAACCATGATCCAAAAATGATAAATATGAATGGATTGAAGAAAATATTGAGATATTTGAAGGGTACAATGGTGTACTGTCTTAAATTTGAGATAGTAACAGAAACCTAAGAAATAAAATACGAATGTAAAAATTATTAAAATTGAATAATAAATAAATTAATTAAAGAAATTAATTATATAAATTATTATAAGTGAAAAATAAATAAATACCAAATTTTGTAACTAATTGCTCCGGGAAAAGAGGATGAATTCCGGAGTTAGAGAAAATGCTGAGAGGCCTGAAGGCAGCACCCGCGTCGTTCGACCAGATAAAGATGAACTACGAAGATGCAGGGGACAAGGGTTGGGAATAAAATACTACCACTGGAGAAAAAGGTTTGGCAAAGAAGAGGGACCAGCCCAACGAGCGTGTAGCGGAAGTAAGTTGTGAGGAGAAATTCGAGAAAATGGTCACTCCAGTTACGACGAACCCCAGGTTTTGGAAAGCACGGGAAAAAGGCGGTGTAGCTTGCCCTTGCAGCAGCAGCCGCCGCTTCAAAGGCTCAATAATTCGAAGAATAATTTTATTAAACACCATCGTAGTATTTAATTAATCCAATTTGTCTGCTGCCAAATTACAACTAACAGAACGTCGGGGGATGACGCTCCTTCTTATAGCAATGAGCCACGATTGTTCTTTCACCCAAATCCTAGTAGGTGCTGGGTCGTTATTTGTAACAATATCATTTTAGATAATATATTTAATGAATAATAAAAACTAAACAAAGTGCGAATTATTCATTTCTGTTACGAGCTAGTAACATGTAGATAACTTAAATATTAATTTGAGTATACATATATTACATCTAGCTTTGAATTGTTCGACATAAAACTTAAAGGTAGCAAAATTAAGTAGAATGTATTATAAACATGTTGTAGAACTAAATATAATTTATATATTCCAATTAAATAAATATAAAAGCGTCGAAATATATCATTTTTGATTTTTGATTTTTGAAGTTAAAGAAGTACAAGACAATAGAATCTACCATATTTTATCTCACACTTTTCACGCTCTGCAAAAGCTTATTAAACTAATTACTCTTACAAGTACACAATATAGTGAAATATAAGACTTAAAAAATCATTACTTATAATTATTACTTAATTTACACATTTTATATCTCAGTACTTATCGTTTTAGCAGTCCTATATCTTTCTATTTTATATGAAATTTTAATTTTCTACTTTACTTCAAAAGTAATTTTCAATTATATTTAGTACATATTTCATAAAATCAATTATGAAAAAACTAATTAGTAGTTTATGTTACGAATTGAAACAGTTCTGTCAACATGATCACTTTTTGGCATATTTTGTCATTTTTTAATGAAAAATTTTGTTTGTGTTTAAACCTAATTATGATTATCAATTATACAAGTAATTCTATTAATGTAATATTCAAAAGTCTTAGAATTCATGTTTAAATTATTCATTACTAATTCACTTTTTATATATTTATCTTTTGATGTATTTATCCATTATAAATTGAAGTTTTGTCTTACAACTTCGACAATAATTTTAGTTAACATAAGGCACTTTTCAGGTCTTTATATTAATTTTAACACAGTCAATTTAGATACATCGTGTTAAATTTAGATTATGATATCTAACATTATCAATTTCTAAGTCGCAATTACGATGTTAAAGCAGATTGTTGCAATCAATATATCATATCTAAATCTGTTACAAATTTAAAATAAGTTTCGAATATTTGTTTAGATAGGTCCAGCCCATCTTGTCTGTTCTACATCATTCTTTTAGATTATCCCTACTTTATGCATGATCAAAAATTATCTTAACGACGTGAGATAAGGCTGACACGTCATTCGTTGAACTGGTTGATAAATTCTTTTTTGAACTGAACTGGCAATTGATCCATTATGTATCGTATTTGAAGATTCAGTTTCCCCAAGTATATCATTTGCTCCAATATAGTGTGATCCTTGAGAATCATCTTGCGTTTCATTGGAAACATTTTGTCCACTTATTTCATTCCTTTTACGAAATTTTGTGGAATATTTATAAAAATCAGACATTTCAAACGGTTTTGTGACTTCTCTATATGGCTGATATTTCCCAGCCTGTACAATTGTACAATTCTGAGAGGATCCTAACATAATTGTCTCTTCGTTTGTTTCTTGAGGTGATTTAGATTCAGCTGGAATTTCAAGCACCTTTTTTCGTATTGGTTCATAACGAGATGATAATGGTTGTAAATGTTGGTCAGTTTCAACTGTTAGGATATCACTTTTACGATGATTTACTGAAGGAATATAATTACTTTTTCCATCTTCACCATTACTGCCAGTAGATGATTTAGAGCACACAGGCAAAGTGGCCTGGTAGTGGATATTTTTATGTGATGATATTAAGTTAATATCCGAGCCTGGACTTGTACCTGAATCCAAAGAAGTTTCATACCATTCTTTTTCTCTTCCTTTTTTTCCAATATTATCTATTGTATCTTTGCTATCATGTAATTCATGCAAATGATTTGAATGCCATTTTTCTACACTACCTAAAGACTGTGTACGTAGTAACATCTTATTGTTAGTTGATGACTGTTCGGATAAGGGAAGTAAATGAACAGAAGCATTTTGATGAGATGCAATATAAGTAGAGTTTTTACTACATCCTACAGATACTGTACGATATCGTGGTTGTATATCGGTGCCAATACTAGTGTGTTGAACGGCATTGCGTTTCCTTCGATCTAAACTACCAAACCTATCCGAAACAGGTTGATCATCAGTACACCAAACAATTTCATCTTCGTATCGCATCCAATAGCCCGATGGTAATTCATTCGGCGAGTCAGTATATCGTAAATTTTTATTTGTACTAGTGTCACGATCTCGTCTCAATACAGACTGTGATTGAGAATTACTTTTATGATATACTGGAAACTCAGGTATATGCGTATAGTGTAATGTGCGAAAATCTCTTTCATAATATTCCTGCCCGGATCTCCGCTGAACATCATTGTCCAAGTGTTTATAGTCAGAATATTGTTGATAATTATGCACTTGTTCTTGTTGAAACGGACGATATCGTATATGTCGTTCATCTTCGGTATATGCATTGGGCAAAGGTCGATACATTCGTTCACTATCATGATAGAGATTTTGAGTACGTGATCCACCACTACCGTGAGAATATGTTCGCGTACGATATTGATCAGATAGTATGTAAACATTTTGATTATCGTTATGATCATGTTCTATTATTTTTATACTTTGTCGTTGATCAGAAATTGTAGGGCAGTAAGTACCAATATGATTATGATTACAAGTATTAGGTAGCAATGATTGATCATCATAACCATGATTAGGATATGTGTTACACTTATCTTCTGATCCTAATGGACTTAAACTTATGCCACCCTCTTGAAGCAATCCTCTTGTAATTTTTGTATTTACGTCATTTACTATAAAAAAATATATTTAAAATAAAATTAAACAAATTTAATTCTTTAACATCCAAAATAAAAATTTGCTGTACCTGTGCCATCTAATGGTGGTCGAGGTTTCTTTGTTCTATGTTTCACATTTGCATGTAAATGTGGTTGAGCATTGCAAATGGTTGGATGCTGAAGTTGTGCTGAATGATGTGTTTTATTACGGCTTTGCCTTAGGAAATTTAAACGAGCTTCTAATTCTTGAAGTCTACGTTGGCTTTGTTGGTAAACAAGCCTATGCTTACGACGTACTGCTTTACTTTCCATAGGATCATTTACAATTCCTAAAGCAGCTTCTACTATACCAATTTGAACTTGTCGTTCTAATTCCAAAGCAGATTCCTCCTATAAAGGGAATATAATAAATTATTTGCACTCTATTTTTACATATTCAATTGAAAAAATGAATTTTTTGTTACTTCTTAGAAACATACAACTTCGTTTGTTTTTAATTTATTAATTAAATTTTGTGGATATGTAAATGCTGTCCCAACTCTTTTACGAAAAACTGGTGGGCTTTCACCCGGTTCTAATGGAATTTCTGGTGGTAAGACACCAGTTAATTCTGCTTCCTCTACGCATAGATTTTTAAGTTCATTGTTCTTTTGTGCTAACTTTTCTTGTAATGCTTCCCTACGTTGACGAAGCCATTGTAATCTTGTAGATAATGAATCTTCTGCCAAAGATCCAGGTGTACTTTCGTTCCCTGCCATCACTTCAAATAAAAATCCAATTATAAATATAATTTATTCTCTAATCAAACAGTGTAATAAAGTAACCTATAATAAATAAATTTTGTATTTTCTTACCCATATTATTAGCGAAATGTAATAATATTATCCACTACAGGTATTTTAATTGGAATGTTTATATAACCAAGCTGTATCTCATGCAATTAAAAATATCAATGATAACACATTTGATAGATTATATATGATGTAACATATAACTTTCACTTTGTTTGCTTTAATCGAAAAATTTGTTTTCAAAAAATTATTATCCATCATTTTAAAAGTGTTTCAAGTTTTATAAAATACTATAATAATTATACATAACAGTAGGTTAACTGTTAATTATGATTACATATTTGTACTATTACATTGCAATAATTAATCCTGCAACTTGTCTTGTCTGTATTTATAAAAACTTATACAATAAACACAGATATTTTCATTAATTGAACACAAAAACATATATTTTGAACTATAGAAATGAAAAATATGATTCAAGAAATCGACGCTTATTTTCTTTCTACAGTTGCCATTTTATACTTCAATATATATAGTGATTTGATATATGTAATTATATTTCATTTTCAGTTATAAAAATTCTTCTAAATATTTATTGTAATTCACATAAATTTAATTTTTAAATGGAAATACATGTTTCTGTAACATTATTTTTATTATTTTAAAATAATAATTCTAATTATTTTAACGTCACGTATTCGGTGGCGTCATCGGTGTTACACTAAGTGTATGGTTAAATAACACATCTGTCTTCGATAATTGGAACTAATTTCCATTCATTAATAATATTTGATACTTGATAGATTTCGGAGTTAACATTAAATTTATGCAAAATTAAGTTACAAAATAATAGGAGAAATTTGAAAGCTAGGTAAGTAGCAAACACAGTTACTAAATCAGTAAATACATTAATTAAAAACTTCGATTTTAATTTAGTTTCATTTGTTGGTACAAATTTTTGTACAATTTAAGTGCTGATTAACATGGTCAATAGTTTAAAACCTGAATGTTCGTTTGCATCATGGTATCCCCTATTTTATAAAAATTCATTAAGAGCTACAATTATTTGTATTCCTGATGAAGTACTTAAGTATTTAGAACATGATGCATTTGTTTTACCTGTTGAGGCAACGAGTTCTATATTACAAAATACAGAATGGATGGATGGATCTCCAGTAATAAATGAAGAAGTAAGTTTGAAATGTGAATGTACATATAAAGAACAATTAAAATTTATTTTTCTTTAGCACCCAGATGAAGTTCAACCAACATTTCCCCAATTCAGTAAAAAAATTCAAGATGTTATAGATGAATATGGCGCAGTTTTTATAAAAAGTAATTGGAGTTCACCTTTGGTATGTAAACATTTTGATTTTATATTGGAAAATATTTAATTTTATTATATGTATTTATTTTTAGGATGCAACTTGGGTTGCACCAACTAAAACACTAAAATGTAAAACATTGGAAGAAATATACCTGTTATTAAAAAGTTCAGATAGAATTGCACAAGATTTAAATAGTGTAAAAAATTATACAAATTACGAAACTCCTGTGAAATCTTGTCTGGTATTAAAACAATGGAGAGATATTAATCCTTGCACAGAATTTCGATGCTTTGTAATACAAAATGAACTTATAGGTATCAAACACCACTGTTTGGAATGTATTTGTAATTTATATTACCTGAGTACTTAGAATTATTATTTTAATCTCTTTTAGCAATTAGTCAACGTGATATATCGCAATATTATAGTTACAATGAATCAGAAAAATATAATATTCAAATAGATATCAAAAGTTTATTTATGGAACATATCAAAAACATGTTTCCATTAAATAATTGTAAGTAACTATAAAGCATTTGTACTACATTAAAACATACATTATTAATATTATAATGTAATGTCACATAGATTCATTTGATGTTATACGGTATAAAAAAGAAAAAGTAAAAATAGTTGATTTTGGTCCTTTGGATGAATCTGCTGTCAAAGGAACGCTTTTTACATACGAAGAATTACAAAATCTAATAGAAGATATACCAGAATTTAGATTTATTGGCGAAGAAATTGGTATTCAACCAAAAGCTCCAAATCACTTTTGTATTCCACAGGAAATAAATGAATTTTTTCAGCCTAATGAAAGTTCTAGATTATTAGACATTATTCAACGAGTAAGTATATGATTTTTTAATTAAATTTACTAATATATATTTATTACCATTTTATTTATAAATGGTTCATTTGATGTTTTTTACTTAAGGAAGTGGAAAGTCAGCGGAAAGAACACGAAAACGCTAATTCTAATAACTTGCAACACGATTGATATGTGTTTGAAAAAAAACCATAAAGAAAAAATGGAAAAAACCAAATGAATAATAAGTGAATAATTGTACGCTTAGAAAACATTTTTAAATACAGAACTTTCACTTTTATTCTGCCAGACCCTCTTCTATCATTACATTACATAAAACGATTAAAGGCTATCCTACCGCTTAAAAGAATTATCGTAATATTGCAATATTTTTCGAGCCATCGGCCTTACCGAGCGACGTCCCTTATATAGAAAATATGTCTTGTTTATGTACAATATGCAATCCTTAATACTTCGATTTGAAAAAGGATTCTCGATATATGTAGCTCCGGACAAGTTAATACGCTGTACAGTCATATCCACGGAGTATTTTTTTGTTTTTTTCCTCATTATTACGTACCTGACAAAAATCAACAAGATCGAGCAATTACATTGGTTGATTCTTATTAATTTTTCTGATTTTACATTTTCTAATATATCTGAACATGAAAAATATCTGGTGATGGCTTTTAGTAAATGTAAATGTAATTAACTCTTTTTATTTTCTCATTTAATGATTTATCTATCTGCAATGATCTTTAAAACTATTATCATTTAGAATTTAGATATTCATGTATCTAATTGTTGGTAATTCGATATTATTTTTTGTTACTTTACATTTATTGGTTTGCATCTTTAAAAAAAGAAAAAAATATAGATATTTTTATATATAAATAGCTATGTGTATATATATATATATACATACATACATACATACATACATACATACATACATACATACATATATATATATATATATTGCTATTACATATGCACATATGAATAGCTATTTATCAATTAAAATTTACGAGAAATTTGGTAACCAATATCGGGATTATACTTAAAGAAATGTAAAATATATCAAAAATACAATTTTAATACATGTATATAGAATCAATTTAAATTTTAATTTGCAGGTGTATGTTCTCAATGCATAGGCATAATTTAGTTGTCCATTCAAATATAATATGATGAATATTCGAGTATTTCGGTATCCAATACTTATAAATTTAAATTACGGTTTCACCTCTTTACGACCAGACATCCAATCATATAAAATTTATTTAGCTTGAAAACATTGAAAATCATTGCTATAATTACATTTGTTCATAAAATACTAATAATTTCGAATTGATCGCAAAGAGATGTGCTGGAATCGTAGAAATAAATTTTCAGTTTCAACGAATTAAACGAATCGCCAAAATTAGAAGTACCCATAAAATACTGTATGAGATCACGTAATTTTTTACTAAAACCCTTCAATTTCAATCGTTAGCGTTATACTGCACCGCTAGTTTTTTGTACCGATTTATAATAGTAGATTGATCTTAAAAATCTAAATTCGATAGTTTCAGTCCGAAACATGCGTTTGTCAGAATGTGTGAAAATAACGAGGCCTTTAGCATTCATCGAAGTCACAAAGGAATAATATGTATCGCATGGAGAGAACTACGAAGGTTGCAAGTTTATGCATGATTTTTTTTTCTCTTAACGCTAGTCAAATATTTACATATAAATGCCGGTGCGCGTGTATTCACATGTAAATATCGATTCTACGTTAAATATAATGATGCGTTAGTTCGAACCGTAGCCTTCACCGAACAAACATTTTCCGACTGGTCGTGTATCTCGAAAATATGTATTATTAATGTTTTATATAATTACAGTACATATGTATAATGGTAATGTCTAGAAAAGAAATGTTCCCTTCATTCATGCTTTTCTTTACTGCATCCTTTTAAAACGTATATACAGAGAAGCAGATTCTTCGCGTTTCTCTTCTCTTTCTTTTTTTTTTTGCTTTTTTTCTCGGACATGACTGTACTAGTGTCTATTACTTTTTCTTTTTTCATTTTTGTGTTTTTTCTCTTTTTTTTTTTAAACATCTTCGTCCTCGGTTTATCTGGCTTCCTGTCTCTTGTCGGTTCTTTCATTATTCAACTGATTTGTGCTAAACGACAATACGTATTTCAATCAATGTACGTTTTGCAGTGTACGGCCGTTTTGTTCATACGTATTCTCTCTGTCTTTTTTCTTTCAGTCTCTACCTTTCTTGCTCTTTCGCTCCCTTCCCCCGCCCCTCTTTCTCGATTTCTCTTTCACTCGTTTGCTTTCTCTCTCGCTCTCTCTCTCTCTCTTTCTCTCGTTTGCGCGCGCACTCTCTCTCGTTCTCTCTTTCTCTTTCTTCCTTCCTTTCGCGCTCTCTCACTCTCTTCTCTTCCATTCTCTAGGATCATTTGTTACTTATTTATTTTTCCTTACACTTTTTTTAATAATTTTATTTTCTTTTCTCTACATTATTTTCTCACATTGCTCGTTTACAGATATCAAAGTGACGCGGCAACATCGCCCTCTCGAATACTGGTAGTAAGGGGTGGTTTGAGTGAGAAAAAACAGTAGTCTTAACAAACATACGATACAAAAACTCTTAAGTTAGTCACTTAACGGCCAGTGTAAAGCGGTTTTGTTTCTTTCCACATTTAATTCCTTTTCTTCTGTCCTCTTTCCGTCTCTTTTCCCCTTCCTCTATTTTCTTTGTTTTTTTGTCTTTTTTTTCTTTTTTTAAGTACCTGAAAAGCTCTCGACTCTGGAAAACTTTGCTTATTCTTAAGTGTTTCTTATAGATTTTCATTCTTTTATTTAAGTCCATCCATGAGTTCTTTTTACGAAGACTACAGTTACCCCTCTATTATAAATGCGATTGGTACGACTAAAGGTGGCGAAAAAGGCCAGGCTATCACTGACAATCGTATTCTCTTCCTCGCTTTTACTCTTTCACTCGCTCATTCATATGTATATGCACATTCTTTCTCTCTTTCTCTCTCTCTCTCTCTCTCTCTCTCTCTCTCTCTCTCTCTCGCTCGTTTTGCTCTAATATATAAGCTACATGTAATATTTTTTCCATCCCATCAAAAAATACGTATTATTATTTTGGTGCGACGTTCCTTCAAAATTTACACCTACACACAAAGATGCATTTCTTTAACGTCTCCATCTATCTTGTATCTATTTGCTGTCTCTTCGTCTGATTCTTTCCGTATTTTGTTTCCATCCTTGTCCATTTATTTCCTCCATGTCTTTCCTTTTCTTACATCGCTTTAGCTATACAGGAAGATAAGAGCTTACGTTTAGATGATAACATTAATTTCATTTTTTTTGTCGACTCGCTCCGCTGGAAACTCGTCAGATTGCGCTGAAATTTTTTCACGATTATTCGTTGAACGATTCAAAGGGGGTTTGAAAGATGTCTAATGTACATTATTTACAAGAAGGTGTTGGGCAATTAGAATGGAAGAAGATAGACAATAACGAGCCAGAAAAGTTGAACCGGTAAAATGAAGCTTAAGAGAAAAGTTAAAATATCAGACTTCGGCTTTCGTTTGCGTTCTATTATTGCTAATGATACAACACAAGATTGTGAGCGAAATACTTTCTGACTGATATTCCAATTTTTCGAACAGCGATGACAGATTGTCTACATTACCCCTCACCTTGTTCGCATACTTCGAAGTGTAAGATATTATTTGAAATCGTTCAAGTTACAGCGGGCGATTTCTCCGACATACATGTTATAGAAATTGCTTAAAAACATGAGAATTATGAAAAATGATCGACGCGTGCACGAGGTAGAGTTTTACTAATCGTTGACAGAATGGAAAAACGAAGAAGATATTTATCTTACAATAATACGTTCAGAACGAAGCAACTAATATAATTTACATCGGATTATAAGAAAGATAATAAATTTAATACACTTATCTCGTATTTCATTTCTCCCTTTTTATCGTTTTTTTTTTTTCTTTTTTCTCTTTCGAGTTATTTCTGTTTCTTTTCTTCATCTTTTGTTTTTAAACAGAGTCACTTTGGTTCGTATCACGAAAGGAGACTATTCACAGGAACATTACTTTTCAACATCCTTAACCTTTAGTTTCTGCGCCAGAAATAATACATTAAACGTCTCGCGATTAACGAGTTCTAGCTTTTACGCGGAAAATGTCCAATCACCCCACGACGAAGGCGCGAAAGAAACGTACAGAAATTTATGTGTTTCTCGTAGCTTAATTACACAACCTTTACAAGTGTTTTCCTTTGTTTATATTTTATAATAAGTTGCAGGCATTCACGCGTCACGACAGCATACCGAAAGATGATATAAACTTGTCATTCTGAAACAAGGTGAAGCGATTTTGTACTAAAGTGCAGCGATATAATACTATACTTTTAATGAATTATCTACGTAATGTACAGTTTTTTGGGTACTTTTTTTTACATGCACCGTGACAAGGTATGGTCGGTCTGTACGACATACAACGTTGCTCTTAGTTATATATATTTTCTCGTTTCTTTCTACCTCTTCTCCTTCTCGATACCTTTTAAATATCTTCATCTTTATTTGGTTTTTTCCCATTCATCCGTTTAATCCTCCCGCGCTACTACTCCCTTCCACCAAGGTATGACGCTACAATTTACAAGGATCGTCTCAATTATAAAGTTAAGATTCTAAGTTATCGAGAAGCGTTACGTGGAAAGGCAAAAAGTTCAATACATGTCTTACTATCTTAATTCACCGAACGAGATCTAATAGATTAATTTGTCTATTCAGTCTGACCACACCATGTAAAAGAACGTGGAATAGTATCATCATGATAGATACAGTAGACAGAATTACAAATTCAGGCTTTTAATTATAAATTCTTTAGTCTGCGAGGGATCTATCGACAGTCGGATACGTTCTATTCTTATTTTCCTCTCTCCTCTTACTCGTCGTTTCTTCTTCCATTTCGTTTTCTCATTTACACTTCTTTTTTTCACGCGCTCACACACTATCTCGCTTACACGCTCTTTCTCCTCGCCACAAACCTTATCTTTTGACTAGATTGCGTCTCTAAAATCCTTAACGATTTAATCTAAGTCTGCCATTCATTATAATTTGCACCTTACATCTAGTATCGTAGTAACATCTAGTGGTAAGAGGATGATCTATTGTTGTCGAGAACTGTTAATAAACTGTTCGTTCTCTTCCTTTCTCTCTTCCTTTCTCGCTATCTTTCTCTCTTTTCCTCCCTCTCTCCTTCTTTCTCTCCTCTCTCTCTCTCTCTCTCTCTCTCTCTCTCTCTCTCAGTTACACACACGCATACGTACATACATACATAGACATACGCTCTTTCTTCTATCCCTTTCTCTTCCTTTACCTCTCATCAGTAAAACGAGTTCAGTGTTTATGCTGAATGGAGAACTTACGAATGTCTCGCAATTAACATTTCTGCCTATACGAGGATAGGTACTCCAAGTTACGGGCATATTGTAAAAGTTTGTCTCTAACAATTCCCGTGTACTCTAATATATATATACAAGCTTGTAATTTGTGTGTTTCATCGTTTGATCCGAACGAGAATTCTACGCGATTTCGTATCCCTTCAATGTGCTTTCCGGTTGTCAGTTCTAGGTTTGTGTTCGCTTTTGCAGTAGCTACGAGGATACGCCCGAACATTTGGAAGCTCCTTCGTTACTGGATACGCATCGTCAGGCATGAGCATATACCATTAAGATTGAACACGCGATGCTCCGTCGAGCGTTCGATCGCTAGGACTACCTTTTCTTTCCGGTTTGTTTCGAGGACAGTCGTTTCTTTAATCTTGAATGATCTGACTTGACCGATTTCTTTTTAGGTCTCTCTGGAGATCCGTTGCAACAGGCGCATCCCTTCTTAACATGCCCGCGCAAACTCGACCGCCTAGCTCGACAATCCGGCTCGACCAAAGCAATATTCCCCGTTTCGTCGTCCGACGGCTCCGAAGCCTTGTCACTGGAAACCATAACCGAATCTTGGATCGACTCATTTGCTTTAATGCGTTTCGACAAGCTACCCTTGTGATCCGCTCGATTCAATACTACTCTCGCATTCACCTGTAACTTATCTTTTTTTTTTAGATAATTGCAACGCCGCTCATTCGACAGAGACTTGAGACTTTGCACGCTATCCTCGAGACCATTGCTCAAAGCGTTCTCTTCTGGTTGACTGCCGATTGACTCGCTTATACTAGAATCCTCTTCGTCGCTGCTCGATCTCGTTCTCTCGGACATTGGACTCTCCCACGAAAGATAATCCATTCTCGTCACCTTCGACGCAATCCGCTTCTTATTAGTGTAGGTATACTTGTGCGTCGATAACATCGGACCAGCGATCGGCGAGAGTGGCGAGGGTATCGTAACATCCGCGGTGTTACCGCTAAGCAAGGTTAAACTTTCGTCCCCTGAACTTGCTGCCGATGTATTATTTACATTGATACTCGGAGGTAACGATTCCGAGTCTAAATCGATATCTAATTTCATGTTTGATGGAATGCTGGATACACTGCTCGGTGAACCCTCCTTCGAACTATTTCTCGACGTGATCTTCGTTCGACTCGTATCCTTCAATGAATCGTTCTCTAGCGATCCCAAATTCGTCGGGGATAATCTCGAAATGTCGGAATTACTGTTCGACGCTTCATCTTGACTTAAATTATCCAAGGTTAAGCGCATGTGTTTTGCTGGATTCTCCAAGTGCAGATCCTCCACCTTGTCTCTTTTCGATCGCTTCGAGGAATCTTTCGCAGATCTAGTTCGTTGGCTCGTACTTTTTCTACGCTCGCTCATCTTAAAATCGGCAATGGGACTAGCATCTCTGCTACCGCTCGACGAATCCAGAGAGCGAAAGTAGGAACCACTATACGATTTCATGCCCAATGGCTGACTGCAGGATGCGTCCTGAGAAGAATGATCAAAAGATGGTGAATGATTAGTATCAAATAGCAAATCTGCTTCTGGGAATAAGTCGCTGGTGCTAGGTTCATCCACGCCTAAATCTTCGCATTCCTCCGATAAACTTTTCTGTAACTTCATCTCACGCTCTATCGCAGCCGCTTTTCTTTCTATTTTCTGTTGTAACAATTCTCGATCTAATCTAGGATTTAACGGTGTTTTCATCACATTACTTTTATTCGAGTATTGTTGGAATGGTTCTAACGTATGATTCATAAAATATTTTTTCGTGTTCGTTTGATAAATCTGTCCACTTGTCATCTCGATACCTTGGCCTTTGTTGATGATCTGCAGAACGCTCTGAACGTTTTCCGAATTATCCGAGTATCTTGAATTCAGAGGTTCGATATTCAAGGAATTCGTAGACGTAGGAACGTATCGCCAAGGTGTGTCGGGTGACACCTTACCCTCCGGTTCCCAAGCTTCTTGTAATCTTGCGTTTCCATACAACAAGCCGTTTCCGACCTTGCACGATACCTCGATACCTTCCGCGGATTGTTGCACAGGAGACTCTTGACTATCCGAACTACTCGGTCCACCAGTCACCAAAAACTGCGTTGCATTGTCGATTCCTCCAGACTGTTTGCTCGCAACCGTGATCGTGGACATCGAGTCTGCGAACAGAAATGAATATACGTGTTATTTGGGTATCCTACGCGCTGTTACAACTATCGTATGATCAATTATAAATTACGCAACAAGACCACGAGAAAAATTAACAAATTTTTACACGACTGTAATATCGTTGAGACTGTTTCGTCGTAAGACTCGTAATGTTTAACAGAAATAATTTAAATATCGCCTGCGCGACAAAAGTCTGTAACGGCAATTAAATTGGTCCAATTATTTTAGTAATTTTGAAAAAGACACTAACCAATCTTTTCGTTACTCTGTAACGGTGTGGCATTGCTCGAACAAACGACAGAGTTGGAAGTGATCAAGGTTTTCGGAACGTTCTCCGACATACCCATTGTATCGTCGATTTTTCTTTTCACCGTCTTCGGGGAGATGATCTTGGCACCAGGAATTATTTCCGTCGATATTTCCTTCGTTTCTTTTTGCTGTTGTTGTTGCTGTTGCTGTTGTTGTTGAGCGTCGTTCAATAAGGAAACATCGGACTGAGTGGCAAAAGCAAGAGCGATCGTGGCACCGGTCTGAATCGAGACAGGCTTGTCGTTATGAATTTGACTGTCCTGTGGCGACTTCTTCTCTGGGCTATGGGCAATCGTTGCTGTGGGTGTGATACATACCACGTTGTCAGACTTCAGTCCTGGTGTCGTCAGTTTGTGTATAGAGGAATTAAACAGTCTAGCGCTTTGAAGAGTTAAATTAGGATTGCTGGTGATTACACCGCATATAGGTTGACTTTCCGAGGGCTCGTTTAAGTTGCGCTGAATCAGGCCGATCGTGGAATTGCTCTTGTTCACGACGATTGCGTTTGTCGCGGATTCAACAGCAACCCCTCCACTAACTGTATCGGATTTTGCCATAGTCAAGTCGCCGATGATGTTACTCTTTTCCGCGGTTACGTCGCTCGTACATTGAGCATGGTTTCCAGTTTGAGGGATTACTACCGATGCACCTTGAACGTTTTGCGTAGTGGTTAAAGTCTGATTGCCCGACAAAGTCTGCAAGGTTGGTATTTTAACCTGTTTCACTTGCGCCGGTTGCGAGATGATCTTTCCCGCTTGATTCAGAAAGGATTGAAGCACGAGGGTGTTAGAAACGCCGGTATTTCCGGTAGTCCGAACGGTTGCCGGTACAGTAGCGAGAAGCTTCGATCCGCTGGACACTATCGTAAATTGCTGACCTCCTTTCACTAGGTTCATCGGTAAGATGTAATTAGGACCTGGGACTAAGACAGCCGTGCTTCCCATCTTTCCCGTTACCGAAGCCAGAGCTTCGCTAACGCTCACGGAACTAGTCTGTACAGCTTCCTGAACGATCACCGCTCTCGGCTGCCCGGAACCGGGTTCCGCAAAAATCAGATTTCGCCTCTTAACGTTCAACTCCACCCCGTCGTTCGAATCGTTCGTCAAATTTCGAACTTCAGCGGTCGCATCGGTCACGTTTCCAACGTTACTAGACGGTTCCTCCGGTGCAGAGAAACCAGCCGGGCTGTCTTGCACGTGTACAACGCCGCTGGAAGAATCTTCGCTACCCATAGTTCTGCCGAGATCGTCGGTACTCGGGCTAAGTTCCGAATTTTGTTGACCAACTGGTTTCGTTTTGTTTGCATTCGACTTTTTTCTTTTTGAAGATTGACTGGGATTCGTCGGTGGATTCGATCTTCTTCTCGGGGCAGGTTTGTTATTCAAATCAGGAGAATTCCGCAATTGCTCCGCATATTCGTCTAAAATGGCGTAGATTCTTTGAGCGGTTTGTTCGTCCTCTTGCGGTTTTTGCTGTGGCTTCGGTATCGGTGAAGCTTTCGACGTGTTCGTTGCGTTGGTTTTCAGTGTTTTAGGCGCTGTCTTTTTTACCGTTTTCGAGGAAGGTGGGGTAGGTGGTGTTTTACCAGCGGAAGGTATAGGCGCCGGAGCTGGTGTGACGCACGGACTGGAAGAACTTTGCGAAGTAACGCTCAATGCCGGTGAAGCCGCCGGTTGGCAGTAACTGGTTACAACAACGACTGGCGTCGAGTTTGGGGTTTTCGCTGCAACGGATCCCGCGTTTTGATTCACATATGCCAGGGAAACTTTTTGAGAGAAAACGTCCTGTTGGAAATTTACGGTATTGCCATTGCTAGCAAAGTCATTGTTGGTGGTTTGCTGCGTCGGCATTAAAAGTTGCTGAGCTAGAGCGCTAACTGAAACTTGCTGTTGTTTGGTAGCTTGTGTTTGTTGCGTAGTGGTCTGCGTTTGTACAGTAGTAGTGGCCGCGGTGGATATCGTTTGGTGAGACTGCGGTTGAATAGTGCTTCTCTCCTTCACTTGCTCTAAAACGCTCTCGAACTCTCTCAATTGTTCCAAGGTAGTAGAACTAACTTGATTCGGTACTTCTATAGAAGAACCGAGCAAACTGTCCGTCCTAACTGCTGGTTGTTGTTGCGGCGGTGGTGCTTGTTGCGGCTGTTGGGGCTGCTGCTGTTGTTGCTGCTGCTGCTGTTGCTGCTGCTGTTGTTGTTGCTGCTGCTGCTGTTGCTGCTGCTGTTGTTGTTGTTGTAATCTTGGCGTAGTTAAAACTGCTTGTATAGCTCCGGTAATATTTTGTTGCCTCAAAGGAGCACGAATGATGTTCAACTTCACCACCGGTGTTCTTCCAGCTGGTATCGAATTCGCGTGCGATATAGTAGGTATAATGTTCAACTGACTTGGATTTGTAGTGGATATAGTAACAGGAATTTTGTGCGTGTATATGACACCCGGCGAAGCATTTTGAACGCTTTGTACCAGTTGCGTCAACGTTTGATTCGCGTTCGGACTAGTCGCTACATTTGCATTATTTCCAGAGCTCTGAACGATATTCAATATTTGTCTACTTGTGGATAATTGTAACGTGTTTGGAATGTTTGCAATGGACTGTACGTTTATTCCTGTAGATGGATTCGTTTGTTGCGCGTTAGGTACGGATGTTTGTACAGCTTTCGAGAGATTTGCCGTCTTTTGCGGGGATGCAGATTGTACGAGGGTTTCCGAGGTGGCGCCTGTAACACCACTCGTCGATGTATCCGTGGAAAGCGTATATATCGTTTTGCCGAAAGCTTGCTGAAATTTGGGCAACCCAGTATTTTGTCCGGATTGCGCGGTCGCTTTCGCAGACGTCAATCTCTCGTACGTATTCCTATTCGCGTTCACATTTTCGGCCCTTTGGTTTTGTCGCGAAAAATTACCGACGCCGCTTCCATCGTCGATGTTTTGCAAATTAAGAACATTCCTCTGATTAGACACCACGTTCGGATTTACGGAAGCCAGCTGGTATGTACCGTCTGGTTTGCAAACGATCTGCAACTGATCCGATGTAATGGTCGTTGGGGCGACTCCCGTGCTCGTTGTTGTAGTGGTTGTCGTCACGGCGGAACAAGGTGAAGGAGATTTTTTAGGCGATTGGTTCTGTTGACTTCGTCGAATCGGCATCGTTCTAGGACTCGAGTCAGGTTCGAGTTGACTGGAAACGTTCGTGGTCGTAGAAGAAGTGGGCGAATTGTCCGGTGGTTGATTCGTCTCTTCACCGACATCGGGCAGAGTGGACGATCTAGGAGGAGGGGTTTGTCCAGCTGGGCTCATGCCAACACCGCTGTCGTGTCCTCCGGAAGAAGGTGTACCGGGTAACTGAATATTTCCAGCCACGCTAGGAGTTCTATTTGGCCTTGGAGGAGTATTGCCACTGTTGATAGAGCCCGAATTCGGGCTCTGTGGAATGTTTCTGGAAAGCTGTACGACGTTTACGGTTGGTCGCATTCTCGGCGGTACCATCATATCCAACGAATTTAGACCCGGTACATTTTTAGCCAGTATATCTGAATCCCTGACAGCCTTTGCAAGAATATCGAACTTTCGTTTGCCCAAATTTGATTTCGAATTTAAATCGTGCCCATCGGTAGGAGATAAATCTGCTTTACTCGTGATCGGCGCTCCGTTTCCTTTTTGCTTTTGGTATGAGGACAATGAGTTTTTGTTTGGAGAAAACGGCATATTTTTCTGAATGTTCATCAATTCGCTCGTAATGTCTCCGCTACTCAGTCGCTGTTGCTTCTTCGATCGAATTAGTTTCCTATCGATCTCGTCCGCTCTGGTTGGTAATATTTTGTTGCCTCAAAGGAGCACGAATGATGTTCAACTTCACCACCGGTGTTCTTCCAGCTGGTATCGAATTCGCGTGCGATATAGTAGGTATAATGTTCAACTGACTTGGATTTGTAGTGGATATAGTAACAGGAATTTTGTGCGTGTATATGACACCCGGCGAAGCATTTTGAACGCTTTGTACCAGTTGCGTCAACGTTTGATTCGCGTTCGGACTAGTCGCTACATTTGCATTATTTCCAGAGCTCTGAACGATATTCAATATTTGTCTACTTGTGGATAATTGTAACGTGTTTGGAATGTTTGCAATGGACTGTACGTTTATTCCTGTAGATGGATTCGTTTGTTGCGCGTTAGGTACGGATGTTTGTACAGCTTTCGAGAGATTTGCCGTCTTTTGCGGGGATGCAGATTGTACGAGGGTTTCCGAGGTGGCGCCTGTAACACCACTCGTCGATGTATCCGTGGAAAGCGTATATATCGTTTTGCCGAAAGCTTGCTGAAATTTGGGCAACCCAGTATTTTGTCCGGATTGCGCGGTCGCTTTCGCAGACGTCAATCTCTCGTACGTATTCCTATTCGCGTTCACATTTTCGGCCCTTTGGTTTTGTCGCGAAAAATTACCGACGCCGCTTCCATCGTCGATGTTTTGCAAATTAAGAACATTCCTCTGATTAGACACCACGTTCGGATTTACGGAAGCCAGCTGGTATGTACCGTCTGGTTTGCAAACGATCTGCAACTGATCCGATGTAATGGTCGTTGGGGCGACTCCCGTGCTCGTTGTTGTAGTGGTTGTCGTCACGGCGGAACAAGGTGAAGGAGATTTTTTAGGCGATTGGTTCTGTTGACTTCGTCGAATCGGCATCGTTCTAGGACTCGAGTCAGGTTCGAGTTGACTGGAAACGTTCGTGGTCGTAGAAGAAGTGGGCGAATTGTCCGGTGGTTGATTCGTCTCTTCACCGACATCGGGCAGAGTGGACGATCTAGGAGGAGGGGTTTGTCCAGCTGGGCTCATGCCAACACCGCTGTCGTGTCCTCCGGAAGAAGGTGTACCGGGTAACTGAATATTTCCAGCCACGCTAGGAGTTCTATTTGGCCTTGGAGGAGTATTGCCACTGTTGATAGAGCCCGAATTCGGGCTCTGTGGAATGTTTCTGGAAAGCTGTACGACGTTTACGGTTGGTCGCATTCTCGGCGGTACCATCATATCCAACGAATTTAGACCCGGTACATTTTTAGCCAGTATATCTGAATCCCTGACAGCCTTTGCAAGAATATCGAACTTTCGTTTGCCCAAATTTGATTTCGAATTTAAATCGTGCCCATCGGTAGGAGATAAATCTGCTTTACTCGTGATCGGCGCTCCGTTTCCTTTTTGCTTTTGGTATGAGGACAATGAGTTTTTGTTTGGAGAAAACGGCATATTTTTCTGAATGTTCATCAATTCGCTCGTAATGTCTCCGCTACTCAGTCGCTGTTGCTTCTTCGATCGAATTAGTTTCCTATCGATCTCGTCCGCTCTGGTTAACACGATCTTCGGATTCAAATTTAGCGTGCTGAGCATTGGAGCAAATTTCGTTACACTATTTGTATTATTTTCTAAGTTATTATTGTCTTTACTCTTATTCAGAAGATTCTTTTGTAGTATTTGGGAAATTCTCGTAGGTTTTTTCGAGTTTTGCGGCCTGAACATCCTCAAAGATTTAAGTACAGCTGGATCGCTTCTCCTTTCGGTAATTATTAAAGGTGCAGCTGCCGTGTATGCCGAACCTTTTATCGTTTCTCGTTTACTTTCGTCCATATCGGCAGAGAACAAAGTTATGATATCGTTGCTACTTACGTCGGAACCGCTCGCGTCTTCATTCGTGTTCGCGTGTCGAACATTCTCATTAACGAGCATATGAAAATGCGAGACCGATTCGACGGTTAATTTTGAAGTCTTGGAACGTTTCTTGTTCGTTTCCTTATTGGATGATTTGTTGGATTTTTTCTTTACTTCCAGTCGACATCCATCGCTACCGAGGCTATCCGCTTGACTGTCTTGCGTATTGCTATCGGAGTCAGAAATTGAACTAACCCTGTTCCTAAAGTGCTTCGGTTTACGTTCCGCACTGTCATAATCGCTCTCGGAGGATTCTAATCTGTGAATTTTCCTCTGTCTCCCTGTTCTTCTTATTCGTAATATACTTCCGCTGTCCGAATCGGTAGTAGTATCATCGAGACTCCTTCTAGTCGAAGATCTCTTGTAGCTACCAGCAGGCTGAAAGCTACCAAACTGTTCCGAGTTGTCCGAAGGTAAATCAACCCATTGTTCGTAACCTTTTTCAATTCCAAAAAAGATATCCTTGGTGTCGTCTTCCGAGGGCCAATCCTTAAACTGCGAATAATCGATGTTGAGATATTTCAGTTCTTTGTTGGTGTTTCTCATCTCTTCGGCATTCTCCAAATATCTTTCGCACAAACTGTGCAACTCTTTCCAATCTAAAACCCAGCTAAGCATGTGGTAACGAGGACTGCTCAAAACAACGGCCAAGTCGTCGCAAAGTTGTGGCGATAGACCAAGTTTTTCCCCATCCAGGACTTGATTTGGTACGGATTTTTCGTCATAATTGGCAGAACCAGTGACAGCATCACCTTTGATTAGGATCAGTGCATCGAGCGTTCTCTCGACGTTCCTGGAGGCGTTATCATTCGACTCTGGAGACTTACTCCTTGAAATATCGCTGCCGGTGAATTCGCCGCAATTGAAGCAAAGCTCTCCGAGAGGTCCATTGGATAACGGATCTCTCTTTGGATGCAAAAGACATCTGTCGCTCGCTGAAATGGTCGCCTCTTCTTTTTTCGGAGTTAGAAGACTCTTTAATAGTTGATCCGTTCGTTCGAAGCTCTTGCTCACTTGCCCGTTTTGAAAATCGATATTCTTTTTCGTTGGTGTTGTTGAAGCCGTGGTAGAACCGGACAACGACGACATTGGAAATAACGAGGAGTTGCACAAAGACGAAGTTAAATCTGTATTCGCGACATTCGTTTCATCGTTCTTTTCTCCGATATTACCATCGGTTTTTACTAATCCCGTGTTAGAATGATTCTCTAGAACATGCTTAAATTTGTCGGTGACGATGATGTTATTACTGGACGTTTCATCCTCTTTCGTTTTTCCACACGCAACAGCGATTTCCTTGATCCTATCGTAACAAGCCCTGGTAGGATGCAGAGAAAACGCTGTAAGGACGCATTCTCGGGCAATACCGATATTGCTTCCAACAACGTCGGCTAGTTTAAGGAATTGCGTGCTCAAACGTTTCGCAGTTTCGCGAACCTTCTCCGTATCGGACTTTGTTTTTTGGCTCTCCAATTCATTCATATCCGTGGTCAACGCCCTGATATACAATTCGATTACCAGAGGCTTTATGCTATCGCCGAACTGTAATTAAAACAAAAACAAACGAAAAGGATTTTGAATCGTTTCTCTATCTTTATTGAAATGTGTAGATTTGGAACAATGGTGAATGAGATTGAAACGATAACTGGAACCTAATATACTCACATGCTTAACAAGTACCGCGCAAAAGATATAAATATGCTGAGCACTTTCAGCAGGTTCGATTAATTTCCTTATCATCCCCGGCAACGTAGGTGCAACGTCTTTCAATTTCGAATGCAACAATGCCCAAGAGTTTAGAATTTGTTCTAAAATGTTTGCGCCGGTTTCCGGTACAGGGCGTACCATGCCGGCTGTAACGAGATATTGTGCAACCAATTCGGCAGCTTTTATCGAATTTCTCCAAACGCGTGCAGTTCCATACTTTGTTGGTCTTTCACCACTGAGTCTTTGGACCAATTCCAATCCATCGCTGAGGTCCATTAATTTTAGCTAGAAAAGAAAGATTTCTCTTACCGCGTCGTGTCTTTATAACAATGAACAATTGATCTGCGTACACGCAACCCTCTTCGACAAGAAGCAATAGAAGGAGAAGAAGGAGAAGAAGGAGAAGAAGAAGTGGAAAAATCGAAACGTATCGTATCAAGGGTATCTTCGATCTAACCGCGTATTCGCGATATCTTTGACGAAATCGGGCGAGAAAGATTAACCTTTCCCTTCGAGCGGTACTCACTTGAGCGAATATATCTTGCGTGCGTTTCAATTTATACAAGAGGACAATATAGACGTCGATCATGTAATGAACGTGATGAGAATCCGAGAGTGAGCGCAACCGATCGCTTCGTCGGAGAGAACGTACGCAAGCGGCGGCGAGGTTTACCGCTATGTCCTCGCAGCGGTCCTCGCAAAGTATTTTCAGCCTCATTGTCAGCAGTTCACCTTTCTCCGAACAGCAGAATTCTGTCGATCGAACAGGGTCTATCGTTAGATGGTCGTCATCTCTTACGGATTTCCAACGATAAAAGAAAAGAAGAGAAATCGAAGAACGACCTACCCTCTTCATGTTCGGAATCCGGTTGGCCGTTAAGTATGCTGTCGAGAGCGGGATGAGTCCATGGATTGTGTACCAGAGCTATCAGAGCAGTGCACCTGGGTGCAGCGGGGTGTTGCACCAGGTGTGACGCGCACCTCTGTAACGTTACACTGAGGTGCGTCTTCGTCGCGGGTGACAACTTTGGCCACTCCCCGCGCAGTACCAATTTCAATGTGTGTCTGCAACGCGATAAATATCCGTGAGTTACGTTTCATTTCTCGAAGCGAGAAGAAAATAGCTGGGATAGAGAGGATGGGGCGACAACAGCAGCGAAGAAGTTTCGCAAAGGATAATTTCGATGGTTCGATGATAGAAAGGTGGAACGACACTATCGTGGCCAATATACTCACTTGTGAGCCCATTCTATGAGAGACTGGGTGGCCTCTGGCGTTGCCCCAGGAATGAAATTGGTGACATGCTCCCAGGCGGACAGAAGTGCATTCACCTTGTCCCCGTACTTCTTTTTGCTGTCACTCAATGTCGCTTCAAGCCCCTGCAACCCGGTAAATCAGCCATCGATTAAATACAAATAAAACCTCTCCGTTCAAAGACTTTTCCAGAAGAAAGAGGGGAAATGGTTCAACTAATCGACTCTTTGAAGTCCAGCCCGAGACTCGATCGTTTTTGTCTCTGCTCGTGCATTTGTGTTCCTACTCTTGATTGACTCATAATTTCGACAACTCGTCGCACAGCTAAACCGATCGTTATATAAATATAGAATCATCGAGCGTCGTAGTTTCAATTCGAAAATCATTCGGAAATCGAGTCGACCGTGTGAAAGAAGAAGGAAGAAGGCGAAAAAGGAGGGATGAAAACGCGATGAATCATTACCTCGATTATGACTGATAAATTCGTTTTTTTTTTCTTCTTCTTTCTTTTCTTTTCCTCTTTTATTCTCTTGCAAAATCTTTGAAAAAGCGATTCGACGCGTTCGATGCACGATATCGCGTAGTTAGTTTGGTTAATCGATTTGATGGAGAAACTCGCGGTCAAAATTCTCTTACTCACCGACGAAGTCATTTCTTCGTTCAAACGAGGCATCTAGCGTTTATTAGAGATCTTTCATACGATTCCAAAATAGAGTTCGAAACATAGGATATCTTGGAGAACGGTCGACCGGTAATCCAGCGTATAATTATCAATTACGTAGAAAGGCGTTTAATCCCTCTCGCAAAAGTGGCGAAGGAGAAGCTCCAGGGACCGGTGACTAGGAACCATGTGCGAAAACAAGACGGAAACGATATCCTCCTATTAAACCGCAAATATTGGGAAACCAGAATGAATGTCCCGCTCTCTATGAAATCCTCTTTACATGCCCGATGAAATCCTCTTTTTGATCGATCCGGATAACGATCGCGCTAAATCGCGAGGCAACGTTCGTGCCTTTGGAAACTCGTAAGGCTAACGGACGAACTTTGACGTAAAAACGAGTTAAGCAATTGTAAGCACGGGCTCGACGTGTATTCGTACCACGCGAATAGAACGATTGATATTTAAACGAGTTAGGCGAAACCGATAAACGAGGAAAACGATACACAACTATACACAGACTCGTTTGTCAAATTGAATTTTCTTCATTATCAAATGTACGAAAAAGTACACGCGTCAGGATTTTCGTGTATGTAGGTCAAACGGATGATTTCAACGCGCAATAAATGTCGAGGGCTCTACATTGTGGAGGATCGCGGATCCCCGTTCGTTAGAGGATCGACTATCTCGCGAAAGAAATTACAAATACGTGTATGTGCTATATACTGGACATTCGTGATTCTCGTGAGGATAAATTTTCTTTCCCAGCGCCTATGGAAACATTAGCGTAGAAAACAGAGAGAGAGAGATCAAAGGACACGATATTTAAAACATATAATTAACGCAAAAATAGTTAAACGAAACAAAAAAGTGTAACATCGAAAATTACCTGATAAAAATAAAGCATCAACCGCTCGGCCATTTAATTCGGTACTTAAATCTGCAACGGTAAAATACCGTAAGTTTTCAAGCGACCTTGGCTCGAGACGTTTTTATTTCTTTACAGAATCAATTACATTGTTGAAGCAAACGGGAGAGAAAGGGGAGAGAGAAGGTACTGATAAAAAGGAAGGGCATTAATAGTATTAGCAAACAACCGACAGAATTTTCACAGATAAAAGAAGTCGCTGGAAAAATTCCCCGGACTCCGGAGGAAAACTTCCAATTGGAAAGGAGTTAATTTCGAAGGCATACCTTGCGAGCTCAACCATCGGTTACTTACAGGGAACTTTCCGATCTTACTTTTACGTAACTTTCCCCATTTGCAACTTCCGTGCCCCGTTCACGAGCAACCCTGCCATGCAGAAACCTCTTCTTCCTTTTTTCTCGATTTGTTTCTTTACTTATTCAGCTCGCCGTTCTAGCATCTCATCCCCAATTTTACACCTCTCACCGATCAAATTTCCTTACCACTCGCATTTTCTTCGGCAAATTCGAAAATTAATTCGTTTCCTCGCGTAACCGCGTATCTTTCCTTGAAAATTTCTCGGTGTATCTTAATGCCCTTTACCTTTTACCACTTTTCCCTTTTAGCTTCGGTCGGAACGGGGTCGAAAACGAAGGATCGTTGGTACAACGTCTTTTACAATTTCCCGAGTTTCGTCTGATGGGAAAATAACGCGCGTAGCCGTGACCCTGTAACGGAAACTGGCAGAACCAACGGCGAAACGCGATACGTCGCGACGCGAAGGATTTCCGATATTAACTTTTACATCGCAACTTTTCCATAACGCGATTTCATACGGCCTGTCGATCTTTGGCGAAATTCTGTCAACTTGCTTCTTACGCGTAAGGAATCGAATTCCAATCAACACGTACCCCCGCGCTGCTGCCTCGTCGCTCGATTTCAATGTTTACGCAAACTGCTTCTTCTCGTTTCGCCAACCAGAATTTTGAATAGCACGCAAAGGTCGTTGTAATTATCTTTATCTACGAGAATTCGTAACATCGATCGCGTTCAACAGATTTATACACATCGACGTAACGTATGTACATACAGTTCAAAGTTGACGGAAAACGACCGACGAATGCTACACGCTATCGCGTATCGAGTCTGCCTCGAAAGAAATATCACGGGACGTGACGCGTTCTCTTCGTACACCCTATCTCGCGTTACGCATCGTTCGACATTCACCTTCCGGCTTAGACGCTTCCGGTGAATCCGTAACCCTGGAAAATTGCCCGCTAGATGGGTCACAACGGATGGGAGGGACGATACCGATGACGAACGGCGATCTTAACGCGGGGCGATCTCGAGATCAGGGAAAGAACGAATGATCGTGCGTCTAATTTCTGCCAACGACGACTCGAATTCCTTTCAGAACGGGAACGCGTTCAACCAGCCGTTTGCCGCGGCGACGTGTCCGTTTTCCCGAGGCTACCGTTGACCGGGTTGGTTATTAATCTCCACTGCTAGGGAAACCCGAAGAGGGTGCAACGAAACGAGGTGAAAGGCAAAGGTTCGAGACGTGCTACCGATCTGGCTACCGATCTGACCACCGATGACAAAATCAAAGGAAAACGAGGCGAGGACAGAGTAGACTGGTTTCTCGTGGGACAAACCCACTTACTCTCTCTCATTCTCTCACTACTTTTCTCTGTGTCTAAGGGAAGGGAACGCAAGTGAACCTGTGTCCTCACCACGCACGACTTTTGGATGTGCGAAGACATTCAGAGGGGTGGTCGAGCTGATCGGCGATACAGCAGCAGCAGTGGTAGCGAAGTTTCGGTCGAGAGAACGCGTGGTGGTCGACGAGACTGGTAAAAAATATCCCTTCTTCTCCGAACAAGGCCTAGGGTAACAAGCGACGCGAGTTTCCTCGACGTCGATGGTAGCAAGGACGGTCGTCTTCCTCCGCTCCGTTCGGATGACGGTGAACTGGCAGGGGTAGGGGCAGGGCTCGTAGCGGACATCAGCGACCTTCGCAGCCCCAAGGTTCGATATCCTGAGAATTACCGGAAGATCCGTGGACGATGCCCTTCTACGAGACCAGGCGCCTCTTCTCTTTCCTCTCCTTCTCCTTTTCCTTTTCCCTTTCCCTTCCCCTTCCCCTTCCCGCTGCCTACTTTCTTCCTCTCTTTCTTCCGTTTGCTCTCCGCCAGTCTCCTCGGTTCTTCTTCTTCCTCCACCTCCTCCACCTCCTCCTCCTCCGCCGCCGCCTCCGCCTCCTCCTCTTATCTTCTCCCGGCTGTCCCCGGGTTTTCTCCTGCTTCTCTCACCGGGTGGTCTCCACGGTCTCCACACGCCACTACCAACTCAACGCCAGCGCCTGCTGTACCACTATCATCTGCAATTCAAAACAACGACAATCGAATCATTTCCACTCGTTCGAGAAGAACCAAAGTCTTCTTTCTCCCTCTCCCTCACTCCCTTTCTCTCTCGCAACCTTTTCTTCGCTTTTCCACACACACACACACACACACACAGGTACAACCGTGTCGGTCGTTCGTCAACGTCCAACGAGATTAAAGTATACGCGACGAGGATTCGTCGAAAAAGCGCGCATATTTCGTTTCGAAAAATTTTCGAAAGTAATGTCCGATGGAACTGGAACTAGAGGGGATTAAAAGCAAAGAGGCACGCTACCTGCTGCTGATTGTCGGCTTCCGATACAAAAGTCCACAACCTGTCCGACTGCCCCGGACCCTTTGCCCCCTGACTCGCACAGCCCCAACCCCTATTCGCGACGAGGAAACGCGACCGCGCATGGGACACGTTTTAAAAGCCCCGATTTATTCGAGGACTTTTCTAATTGCTTCCCACCGATGGAAACTGTTTTCCGAGCATGCAAATTGACCCGCACCGCTTTGTTATCGCGATTCTCTTTCGTCGCGCGTTCCACCCCCCGACTCGCGTCACGGCTGGTTCTTGGTCACTTTGGAAAACGCGAAATTTTCTTCCTCTCCTTTTTCATCCTCGTTCTCGCCGACACTCGTCGACACTTGCCGAGTAAGTACCGCTATTGAAAGGCATACTCCGCCGAATTTACCGACAGGAGCGATCCGCTATAGCATTTTTTATGGAGATACAGCCGCCACAGTGCACGCGCGAACGTGTACCGAGTCAGAGGTCGGGGGTCGCGAAGCTCACCTCGACCTTGACTACCGAGCGAATATCGGGACATCTGCTCGACGATAACGAATCGGCGAGACGAGTTGCGAGACACACGTGCCAAACGCGCGATAGACATCTCGTCTCCATCGGGTTACGAGACCGCGAATTGCAAGGGGACGCGTTTTCTCCATCGTCCCCGCGAAACTCGAGCGTTCTTTCGTCGCGTCTAGACGCGTGCGACACAGACGAAGATTTGAACCGTCGGAGATTCGAGCCTCGAACTCGAGGTGGGAGAGGAATTTGGGAAAAATGGACGTAATCGACGCGCACAGAGCGGTACTGGAAAATAATTCGCGGAGCAAGTGTCGCGGTTCCAATTTACGCTGCATCCTCGATCGCCACGGAACGAAAGTTCTCGAGGAGAGACAGGGTGGTGCTGCAAGGTTGCGTGGACGTTATGTACGATGTACTTTGTATGATCCGTCCGACGAAAAGAAGGTTCGTGGAGGCCGAATCTCGATACGAAGCAAACGAGATCGATCCTCTCGCTCGGAAAGTTGGTCTTTTATTCGAGAAGAATAACAGCTCCTCCATCCGTCTCTTTCCTTCCTTCGCAACCTCGTTCCGCAACAGTCGTAAAACATTTCGTTTTGCGGAAGGAGAAAAACATTTATCTCCGATATCCCATCGAGCCGGAGCAATCAAACGACGATCCGATGTGGAAGAGCTTGACTAAATACTCGATTTAAAAGGAAAAGAAAAAAATAAAGGGTAGGAAATAACATGGAGCGTAACATCCGCGCGGTTTGGTTTTATTAGCTCGGAGGAAAAGGTTAAAAGCGTTTAGTCGGGAAAGCTCGGTGCTCGCGACAATCGGCTCGCGATGGCCACGGATAAACGGTAACAAAGCCGGAGGATAGAAAAAGGGACGGACGTTACGCGATTCGCTCGACTCCGCTCTCTTTCCGATGTTTTGCATAAGATTAATCCGAGCTGCCGTTTCTCTCGGAGGCTTGCACCGGTTCGTGACGAATAGCTATTATTCTCCCTTCAACGTCTCCCGACGAAACTAGAGCCCAGCCCACAGACCAGGAGTTATCTATCGATTGCACGATTCTACCGCGTCTACCTTGTACAGAGCTTTATTCCGCGCTACGCGTTACTTCTCGCGTAACCGAGCACGCGAATCATCCCCCTCACGCTTTGCGTGGATCGCGCGTTACGCCGCCTTCCGGTTCACCACTTTCTTCTTCCGTACGCAACTTCGTTCGATAGTTAAACGAGAACTCGAAAACCCCGCTGCTGCAACTCTGGCCGAGGTGAAATTTCGCTGGAGAGAATTCCAGAAGCAAGGATAGATACGCCTTGCGATAGACCTTTGATAAACAGACGGAATCGAATTTTCATTATGCTCCTTGACGGAACGGCGAAATTAAGTGGTGCCTCGGAAGCCTCGACAATCGGGACGATACAAACGTCCAAACCTGTTCAACTCGTCAACCAACCGGCTATTTAATTTTCATTTCCGATATCGCGGACGGCTTACTTAAATTGTTCCACGTTCCACGGGTAAGCAATAACTTCCGCCCGCCCGTCCTTTCTATCTAGCGGAATTCATTTTCCTGCGTCGACGAGAGACGAGAGAGAAGGAAAAAGGGAAGAACGCCGTGTCATTTGCATGGCGACTGTTCTTAATACCGTGTTCCGAAGGAAAATGCCTTTGAAATTTTTTCCCTTTCCTCTACCCCTCGGGAATTAACGAGATGCTAGTTGATTCCCCGGTGAAACAGTTCGAGGCAAAGGACCAGTCACCGGGAGTCGGTCCTCCCCGGTCGGTAGAGCATTCCGAACGCACTGGTATCGGCAACGGCACCGTTCTGCATTTTGCATTGCGCGCAAATTCTCACGTGACCGAGCACGCAAATAGACGTATTTCTGTAGCATGGCTGCCCACCGGCCGGCACGTTACTCGCATAAAACGTGGCTATTATATCGCCGTGGATCTACCCAACGATGCACCGCTCGTCAAACAACTTTCGGTCGATCGAAAATTCGCCTCGCGTTCCGACGCAACCGATAGGAAAGAGGGGAAAAGGAAAAAAAAAGGGAACTATGCAGCGAGTTACGAGTAGCTGACGCGATTTCCTGCCGATTTCCAACCGATTACCGATCTATTACCAATCGATTAGGAAGATATCAGTTTTGGCTTTCAAGTTACGCGCTATTCGTTGATTCTAATTGGCGCGAAATGGAAAAAGAAAAAAGCCTGCAAACGCGACACGTGCACCGATTTTCCGTCGTTATTGCGCGCAGTTTCGATTCGCGCGCGAAAAATCTTGATAGTCGACTGCAAGGACGAATCGGAACCTTCCACGAAGATCGCGTTACGCAAGAAAAATGAAAAGGAAAGGTGACGAACGCTGCTCGAGCGCGAGGTTTTTCCCACGTTCGTTCCACGCTCGTCCCACGTTTATCAGAGACGCGTTCACGAGCAACACTTTTCGACAAAGATCATTTTCTGGGAATTCGAACGACGACGCATCCGCGTAAAATGCCGGCGAATCGATACGCAGCGGCAGACAATTACAGAAATTACGGGAAAAAGGTGTCCTAAATTCCACACAGCCCGCGTTTCGGGACCGGGAGTGGGAAGGCGTTAAAAAACTATACCGCTTTTTTTCATTTCGACAAAAGACCACCTGTTGCCACGTAACAGGTGATGCATCGATGTAGAATCAGCCTTAATTTTTATTAAGCGCGTTTTTCCTCCATCTAGCTTCCATCGCTAACCACACTCGCCAAGGACGCTATATTCGTTTATGCTTCCTCCTGACGTGCTCGAGCTGCAGCCTCGCGGAACATCGTAACCGAAGGAATGTCGCGATGAATCTAGGTGCGCGAGCTGTCTTCCGTTGATCTTTGCGATCTTAGCGATCGTCGATTCTAAACTCGCCATGCGAGCCGCGCCGCGGCCACCGTTTCGCTGCCATCGAACGAATCGGCCAACGGAGATCGACGTAAACGACGGACCGAGTGAAAAGAGGGAAAATGGACAACGGGTAGGAAAGAATGCGCGAATTAGGAGACCCGAGGGGCCGGTCAAGCAGACTCTCTCCGTGGGCTTTTCGCGAGGTTTGGCGCGCTGCACGCAACACACGTGTCGTAGGAACGATAACGCGCGATACTACTTTCTACGGCCGGACTAATGCGCGATACGATATAAAGCGAAGAAGGAGCGTTGCTCGTGGACCAAGCGCTTTGCGCCGCGTCTTCTTTCAAGCGATCCTCTTCTAATGCCGGCGGCCACGTTAACCCATTTTTCATACAATTCGAAAATGCTCCGTCGTGGGACTGCGACGCCGTGTTCACAGCCTTTAATCTTTCCGGAACATCAGTGCGAAACACGCTTTTTGTTTACCTTGCGAATCGAACACAACAGCGAAACGAAAAGTGCGCTGGCTCGATACACCTGCCTGCCGTGATTTCAAACACGCGACGCTCGTTTTTAGTACCTTCTCGAGTAAATTCCTTTGCAGCCACGCGTTCAGACTCGACGGTTAAAAATTCGTTGCCGAGTGCGGCAGTCAAAAGGGTTTTCGAAATTTCGTTAAAGCGGCGGTGCGTTCGCACCTCTGTTCCTTTAATCCCGCTGGCAGGGGGGCGAGCTCGAAGGGAGAAATTTCTCGTCGTCGGTCGAACGAGCCTAACCGAGCCTACGTTTAACCCCGAAGTACTACGAGTACCTTCTTCTTCCCGTTTATCCAAGATTAGACGATCGCGGTCGGTAATGAGCTTTCGAAGCTCCGAGACTAAACGCATTATTCGAGAACTCGAGCCATCGCGTACCCCTTGTTTCTTTTTTCCATCTCTCACTCTCCCTAAGAACCTTGCACCCCCAACTTGGCACCCCGTGCTCTCGCAATCGCAACTTCCAATCGACTTTGCGGTTCCGCGAAATTTCTCCTTCCCCGATAGTCCGAAACCTCGGGGAAAAGCGTTTCGGAGGAATCGCCTGAAAGTTGGGTAAAAAAGTAAGTGGGAGAGAGAGAG